CTGCCTCGCTGAGAAAGAGAAATGCCCTTACCTGAGCCGGGACAGACTTTCGTAGGAATCTCAAAGGGATCTCGCAAGCCCTTTTGTGATACTGAGGTTTGCTAAAATTAGGGCTCAGGTACTGTTCTCTTCACGCTGTGTTTTTGTGTGGCTCAGGGTTAAGCTTCCTGTGGAAATTGCAGGTACTTCTCCTACTGAGCAGTTGCCACCGTTTGGCTGGGGCGTTGCGTGGCCTGATGCGTCCGTCTTCAAAGAGTTCACTGACAGCCACCGGTAAAATAGTTAATGTTCGACAACGCATCCAGATAAATTAGTAGTCCCTGTATTAATGTTCCAACTTGGCTGCAAATTCCAGAACCCAGTGCTATGCGTTTGCAGCCAGGCAGTGGTACAAAGTACTGTGTTTGGCTGATTTATACCTGTTCTTACCATAACTTCCTATTAATGGAGGTTTCTGACACGGATCTCCACAGAAGGGAGAATTTGGTATGAGTTGTGGCGCCTTTCACTTGCCAGCTTCGTGCCAGCTCTGCTCTTCTGTCCTCAATATGTTTCCCCGTTTTGAGACTCCAACTTGATATGCTCCAGGAAACACATATGTAGCAAAGAAAAAAAAAAATATTCCCTCAATCCCCTCTTTTCATCAGTGTTTCGATGGGTTTTTTTGTTTGTTTCCCCTTTCACCAATGTTTGTCTCGCACCTGATGACATCGAGGAGAAAGTTATTGGGAGAGTCGATTAGAAACAGTAAGTTTGCTGAGATTTCGGGGGGTTTTAGCGCATGCGGTGACAGTAAGCAGTAAGTGTGAATCCTACTCCTTGCCTGTATTCCCAAATTAATTGATAAAAGCGCTTGTGTTGTATTCACATTAAAAACATTTCTCCTATCAAACCAACAGCATGGAAACACAAGTAATATTTTGCCTGGTTCTCTTTGGACCAAACTCAAATTTACAAGGCAGTGTTTAGAAAGCAGAAGAGATTTTGACCCCGTCTTTCCTTTCCCCTCGGGGGGCAGTTATTCTATTTGTTTGTTTATTGATATTGCCCTATAAATTAGGGGCTGAGTGTTCTAAAGTCGAACCGGTGGAGAAAGGAGATAAGGATAAGTGGATACAAACTTCCTGTTACACAAGCTTCTCGACTTGATTTAGAAGTTGTAAGGGAGCACGAGAAGTGCCAGAGTGAATCAGGCTCGAGTTTCAGCTAATTCTGTATCTTGTCACCACTGGTGTCTCCCACCAGCTGGTTCAAAGAAAGATGCGCTGGTTTAGAGAGATGGATTTAAAAATACCCATTTTTAAAAATAAAGTAGTGCATTTTTCTGGCTTCTCATGAGCTGGCTGCGCAACCTGCTTTTTTCACAGCCAGTTCACCTTCCTCTTCAGTTTTTCCTGAGGGATGCTGCAGAACAAGGATGAAGCTGCTGTTACAGCTTCTGTTCTCTTACTGAAGTTTTAAATTAAGGCAAGGCTTCTTTCCTCACCGTGGCTTCATTGCTTCATAGCATGGCTCGTATCTGGGTGGGACTGCGAGAGCCCGGGTGTCAGCTCTTTTTCTGCTCTTCAGAATATGTTAAATGTGTGTGTTGTCCAAAGACATCTGTCAAACATGGAATTTTGTTGTTCATAGAATGACGATAGGGAAGGCTGAGTGTTTAGGGAACTGCTTTTAATTAAAACATTTATAAATTTAGTAGGTCTCACCTGGGGACAAATATCACATCTGTGACTGTCCATGAGCAATAAACAGCTTTGGGATTTATCATAAGAAGTTCTTCTTTTCCCTTTTTATTCTGCTGTAGGCTGATCTGAACTTCTCTTGTGGTTTCAGTTGCCAGTTCTTTGCTGACAGCTACAGAATGTACCTTGTTCCCCACACAGCCGTGCCTGACCTGGTATCTCCTCTCAAAATCTCCTTTCAGCGGTTCGAACAGGAGGCAGAAGGGAGGCAGACCTGAACACGTTAGCTTTGCCTTTCACTGCTCCCTGGTTTTTCTTCTGGTCCCATTGAGCAAGACCTCGAACCGTGAAATGGCAGCAGAAATCAGAGTTGAACCTGAGTCTTTCTTCTCAGAGTTTGGAGTTGTCTTCTGTTACGTTTCTGGGCAGTAGGACTTAAAACTGACCTGAGGGTTGGTCGTTTGTAGGAAGGCATAAGAGGAATGGGAATTTTACTCTATTAAGAACAAGACGTAAGCCACTGCTCTTGATGTAATTCATTTATTTTTGCTTCAAGTAAAGCGCAGCAAAGAAACTAGTTCATGTGGGATTTGCAGATCAGCATCCGAACTTCACGTGCGGTATTCCCAGGTCTGCTGGCAGTTGCGCCCGGTGCCCGGCTAGAAGGATTGGCGGGCAGCAGACTTTTACACGGCTTGAGGCACGGCTGTTACTTAATGTGACAACAGCATATGCAGTAATTATGAGAGATTATGCCTATTCTCAGGGGCTTGTACAAAACCCGTACCGAGGAATATTGGTGTGATCATGCTAATCCCCTTTGCATACCCATTTCCAGCAGTTTGAAATGCAGAGATGAATCTTTCTTGTCCTCACCCCCCCTCCAGTCTCTGAATATAAGTGATTAGTAAATTTTCAGTTTGTTTGCGTTTTGTCCTTATGTCTGCTTCCTTCCTTGGCTCCCTCCGTCTTGCCTGGTGAAGGCTGACTAGAATCGCTAAAGAAGGAGGCGACAGTTTTCTGGTTGCAGTTCATAAGCAATGCGTGTACCCACCACATGAAAACTGCAATGTTTTCAGTCGCACAGACTTTGCTATAAATAGCTCTAAGCCCTTTATGTGTACTTCTCTTTAGGTTATCAGGGGACAGATTTCAAACAAAGTCAGAGACAGGGAGGCTACAGGGAAGCTCACTGACAAAGGAGGGAGAAGAAGATGCCTTGGGAAAGTTGCTACCTGCACGTGCATGTGGCTGTTGAATCATATTTCATGCCGATTATTTGTTGATTTGCATAGGCAAAAATACATTCATTTATCTTTATCAACACTGTGTCACCTTTAGTCCACTTGAGCTACATGTGCAGCACAGTAAAATTTGGTTTGAAAACCACCGACTTTGAGGTCACTGTATAGTACTTTGGGCTACTGTATAGCGATGCCTAAGGTACCTTCTCCAAGCCATTTTAGGTACCAGAAGTAGTGTAGTTTGAAAGCCCACCTTGAAAACACACCACGCCAAGAAGCAGTAAAATTTGGTTTGAAAACCACCGACTTTGAGGTCACTGTATAGTACTTTGGGCTACTGTATAGCGATGCCTAAGGTACCTTCTCCAAGCCATTTTAGGTACCAGAAGTAGTGTAGTTTGAAAGCCCACCTGAGCTAACACACCATGCCAAGAAGCCTGGTCCTGAGTGGTGGTGGGCACTGAAGTCCTCAGCATAGACATCGCTGTAGGTTGGGGCCAGCTGTGTCGAATCAGATGCTCTCCCGTGGCACGTACTCATCAATACATGGGTTTGCACCATCTGCTAAATATAAAACAAGCCAGACAAAATCAAAATAAAATCCTTCTGACTGGATTCAGAGGGATGGTGTTGGATCCCAGCTATCTGCAATAAAAAATGTTAATAGCAATGCATGAGAATGAGCACACAACTTCCCCAAAAGGTTTAATTAGCGTTACGACTGGGAGTAGGAAACTTCAAACTGGGACAATCTAATAGTCATGTTTAAATAAAAAAGGGTAGTGGTTTGACTAGTTTTAAGAGTATACAGATATCTTCATTTTGGCTTTCAGAATAAATTGCGAGCTATCTAATTAAACTGGGTTTTGTCTGTGAAAATAGTGTGAGTGCTAAAGCCACATTTTTGAGGTTGACTGGACGCTTGCACATAGAGAGGCTGCCAGTAGTTACGGTTAGGATTGTTGATCCTGTAAAATTAAGCCTGGAAGCTGAGAGTGTTACGAGGAGGAAACATTTTGGTCTTTCGTTCGCTCTCTCCCTGTCTCTTCTTTCGACAGAGCCAGGACTTGCCTCTCGGGAGTTTCTTTCCAAGACGTGAAGGCTTAGTTTGGTGGCGGTGGGACTTTCTCATCCTTCCTGAGCTGGATTTCCAGTCCCAGTGCGACCTTACTCATTATTTCTGTTCCCCTGATGGGACGGGGTTGCTGTCTGTGCAGCAGCTCCGCGCTGCTCCTCCACGTAGGCAGAGGGAAGGATGAGCGCGCCCAGGCCGGGCTTGCTTTGCCCATCTCCAAAGAGCTTCCATAAAGGCGCTTCCAAGCACCATGAAGAGGGACGGGAGAGTAAATGGGGAAAGCAGAGCAGGGCAAGGCTGGAAACCCAGACCCAAGGCCTTCTACAAGAGCAGGATCTTCATTTGATATTTAGTATCGTTAGTCTTAAGTTGATTCTGTAATTACAATAATGTTCGTCAGGCATTTAGTAAAACACTAAAACGTTGTTTCTTCCTGCAGCTGCTGCAGAAACCTTGTTTCCATCAGAGTTTGAATCTGTGATGTTCAAGTTTCTGGCACTTGCACCACAAATTGTTCAACGATACTGGATTTCAGTCTAATGCTTTGACATTAAAGTTGAAGTCATGTTGATGTCATCTTCCAGATGTTCATGTCTACTGAATAAAAATTGTGTTTATTTGTTTTATTTCAAATTACAAAAACACATGGGGAATTCTGGATGCGATCCTTCATGCTGTACAAAGGCCTGTGTGTCCTGTCAGAAATCAAACAAAACTTTTCTTCATCATGTAGTAGGAGAGACCTCAAAACACTGGAAACATAGGTGGATTTCTTCCCCCACCCGAACAGAATGGCTTTGTTACGTGCCTGAGCCTTGTTGTCACAGCTGCGGTAACTGCGCAGAAGGGAGACGTGCGGCTTCTGCCCAAAACTACTCGTATTTTGCTCTGGTGCCAGACCAGTTCTGTGTTGGTGGCTTGCTTTGACTTAATAGTCAGCTATGCTTCATTTGTAAAATGAGTGCAAAACAAAGAAAAGTCCATTTTGTCCTTCAGGTATGAAAAAATATATTTTAACTTGTAAAATAAATTCAAGCACCCTGTGGGTCCCCCTCTGCTGGGAGGCTTTGGCAGCGAGGTCCATGGCTGACACCTCCCTGTTGTCTCAGCTTGCTCCCAAAGCTGGGGGTTTGTATTATCCCATGTTTGTATTATCCCATGTTTCTCGTGTCAGCATGGTACGTATAGGGGAATTGAAATTGAAACACCTGGGAGCCACAGAGCTGAAGGCTTTAAACCAGAATTTCAATAGATAAGCTGTAATATATGAAGTGTTGTGCCACATGGGATGAGTACTTGGGTGGTCGTAAGTGTTAATGTTTTCGAACCCAAGAAGAAGTCAGCACTTGCTGATCGATGAGTGTTTGGTCACGGACAGAGGAGGCATAGTTAAACTTGTGGTCCTTCAAACAGGTATCTGGGAACATAGTGATTTCCAACAAGTGCTAATGCCTGTGTTTTGAAAATGGATCTTCTATTTTTTTAGAGGAAGTTCAGCCCCTGTGTTCTCTAGGAGGAAAGCAGAATATTGTCTCAAAATAAACTGAGCAGTTGCACTGAGGTGGTCAGTCTTGAGATGACTGAAAAACTGTTCAGACCGCTCTGCTGTACCCTGCTTCAAAACCTGAGAATGTGATTATTTGATACTACAGCTAATCAAAAAAATCCAGTCAAATAAAATGAAACTATGGAGTTTCATTAGAAGTAGTATACTCAGGGTGGTATAAAACATTCTCTTCTGTGCTGTTTTTCACATCCATTTGCAAATACCTTTTATGCAATCTCATATTAATGTGTCATGGAAGACACCGAAATGATGCTGTGGATCATATACAGCCCCACAACCAACACGATAGTGCTTAAGTAATGGTGTGGCTGCTTTCCTTTCTATTTTTTTAATTTCAAATATCTTTTACAGCGACTATATGTAGCCACAATGAACCAGAGAGATCACAAAATTTCCTGGTTTATGAAGCCTCTGAGCGTACCGTTCCGGTGAATACCTTGATGACGAGTATTAAACAGGCTGGTCGTGTAAGAATACTGAAAAAAGGTGTTTATTGCTTTCAGTGCTCCAGGTCAGAAGCCTGATGTAGCTTTTTGGCCCTATCTTCATCTTAGTTCAGTTAATTTTTGCTTCCATTTCTACTGGAGTTGTAAGGAACCACTTGTTGTTAGATCTCAAGAACCACGGAGGAAATAGCTAGTTTCCTAGAAGTTGGGTTGAGTGAGTCAAAAGGCAGAACAGAAAATTGCATCGTGCTAATAAATGGCAATTATTGTTTCCGTCACAAACCAATTAATTTTCTCTTTAGGTATTTGTTAATTTATACCTTGGGGATAATGGGGGAGGCGGTGTGTGTGCATAATTTGCTTTGAGAAAAGTGGCGCGCTTTCTGTTGTCCTTTCTTACTAACAAATCATGTATTCCACCTAGGCATACAGGCAGAAAAAGCTGGGACAGGTTTGATTTCAAGAAAAAAGGCCACCCTTCATCGTTGATAACTGTCAATCTTGCTTGACTTGTATCGCACTAACAAGGGAATTACATATTAAAAAGGGGGGGGGGTGTGTTTCATTCTATCATGTTCAGCTATTTCCTCTTGCTCAAATGAAAGCTGTTTTGAAATCTTGCCTTCCCACCTGCTACCGTAACTGGAACAGCTCTGCTTCAGCCCCTCCTTACCCTGGTGTCTCTGAATTCCTGTCCCTGTGGGTTTGTCAGTCCTTAGCACTGCTGTGAATATTCCTATTCCTGTGCAACCCAATATTCGAGTCTGGCCCTGAGCTTGCAGCATATGTTTCCCACACAGTCCAAATTCGGTGCAATATACTGTAAGTTAATCTCCAGTAAAGCATAGCGAAGAGAAAAACCTGGGAAGAAAACAGATGGAGAAAGTAGAGCAAACAATTTGCATATATGTGATATGTCTCTCAGTTAAGATTAGCATTTCCTACTTTGCCTGAAAAGCCTTTAATAAAAATCCAACGGCATGTTCGGCCCAAATCAGCAGAATTGGAGGAGATGTCCTAATGGCACAATGTGCCCGCGGCACGGGGTGGAGGGGGCCCCGTGTCCCTGCCCCAGTGCTGGGATGCTGTGGGCAGGGGGACCGGGAGGAAAGCTCTGTCTGTGGGATATTTGTTCACCGCAGCCTTTATAGCACTGAAGCTTCACCAGGGTCCTGAGTTACTCTGCATGGGCGGCTGGTGGAGGAGCATGACCTTCCTTCCATTTATTTACAGTCCTTCAGGTTCCTCCTGAGCATGCAGTTACAAGTGCTTGGGAATGAATTGCTTGGTGCCCTCTCTTGGTGCCTTCTCTTGCACATGAGGTCCGTAATGTGGACATCTACCTTAAAGTAGGCAGATATTTGTTAGAAAACAAAAAATCAACTTCCCTTTTGCAAAAAGGGGACCCTACACTTAAGATTCCTTTGAAATTTCCATACATTTGTAGCTCCGCTCTCATATCTGTTTCCAAAAACACAGACCAATAAAAAGTTGAGGTGGTCAACCGCAGCAACTTACCACCTCTGTAAAAGAAAAGCATTGACAAATATTAAATGCAGCAATGCAGGAAATAAATAAATAAATTGAGAATTACAAATCTCTTTTGTTGCAGCAGTTAAAAAGGCACAGAAGTTTTCTCACACCCACAAGCTCGAGAGTGCTGTATTTAGAGCACTGAAAAGCAAATTCCAGGGCTGAAACTCGCTTCTCTGGAGGACTACATTTGGGTATACTGCCTAAGTCCTGGAAGCAGTGACTAAAACATACTTATTTTTGACATGTACTCCGGAACTGTCTGTCTTTCACAGATTGCAGTGGAACCAGATAGTGATCCTGAAAAGCAAAGGCAAATCTAGTTTGCTACTATCTGTGTATTTAATAGAAGCAAAGCAAGAAAACTGTATGATGCTATTTATGTTTTTGTGTAAACCTTGTCTCTTACGTGTTGCGGGATCGTGTTCTTTACAGAATGCAGCAACTTCTTAATCCTGTGTCCTCATAAATAATTCATAGGAGAGGGACTACTAGGCTGTGGCTGCTGTTCTCTCCTTCTGGCACTGTGTTTTCTTCAGTAATCTGAATTGTCTTGTCACTGAGGTCTCACGCGTAAATGTAGCCAGGTAGCATTAGGTTTCATCCTGACACAAGTCCCTAAGATGTATATGCAGAGGAGATGGTTGCTCTCCAGAAAGTTATTTGATTAAGCAGCAAAATTAATCGAGTCTTTATGGATACAGTGAAACTGGAAGAGTTTCGGTGTGTGAGTTTCTGGTTCACTTTTGTGTTAGTTTAAGTAAGACTTACTCTAATACTTGGTCAGGTTGCAAACCTGAATGTTGAGTGTAAAGTTCCCTCTTCGGTGGAAGATGGCTTCTTCTTGATGGAAGAAGTTCCTGATAAGGACCTTTCTGCTTGCTTTTGACATTTTAGCAGCTAAATAAATACATTCTCAGATCTCACTAAGTTTATGTCTTTGCAAACTTCTGCAAAAGTGAGAGGTTTCTGGGGTAGTAAAGGCTGCCCAGGTGGGTTGGGGCAATCCAGCTAAGTCCCTGCCGTGTAGGTCAGCACAGCCGGAAAATTTCTCCAGCTACTGGCATATGGCTGTGCCTGCAACTGCTCAAAAACTCGTTAACTTTGAAAAATGGTAGTATGGATGTAAGCCACTTTGCTAGATGAGACACTTAAAATGGTTGTCAGGGATTTTTCTTTTATACTTGATGATGGCGATCCAACTCGTTACCAAAATAACTTCCTATATGTTTGAAGCAGAGCATCTCCTGCGGCTGGCCGCGGGGCACAGCCCTCCGCACGGAAGGGCTGCGGGGGCGACCGCAGCTGGGCACGTGGTGGGGATTTGTGATTTACGGGACCGCTGCGGAGCCAAGTGGAGATCATTTGCTGCTTTCTCATTCCTACGTTAAGAGGGACATTACAGTAAATAATGTCTGTGAAGAGGAGGGAAAAACACGCTGTGGTTTGTTTGACCTCCTTTTGCATCCCTTTGAAGTTGGCAAGTAAATAATTTGGGGAACAAAATCAGCACTCCACAATGTTCCTTTGTTTCTTCTGCTGCTCTACCTTCCCTTCCTGCTCTTGGCCCTCCTCCCAGCCACAGCTTGGTTAGCTTGGGCAGCAAAGTGGGTGTCCTGAGGAACTGCTCCAGCACAGGGGTTAAAATGTTTCCTGGGAACCTAATGGAGTCAAACATATTAAAATGCAATTCAAAGAAAAAGTTTGCACACTATTTATTTTCCCTTTCGCAGTAGGGCATACTGTGAAGTGGGGTACTTCTTCCCTTGAAAAGATATTAATACCAATTTAAAGGCCATGGAAGATTGCAGCCACTGTTTTTTCAGATGATTGCTTTGGGGGTCTTCATCCCAGTGGGAAGAGGCCGGCAGCCAAGGAGCAGCAGGGAGCAGGGGTCTGTAGCCAAAGAGGCCGAGATAGAAATGCTGGTGCCCGAGGGGGCTTGCAGAGGGGGTGGAAGAGGGCAGGGAGCCGCTGGCTGTGTGCGTGAGCACGCCTAGGTACAACGCGTGTTGAGCACTGGAGTGAGGCCAAGTCCGTTATTAATTGCTTAGGGAGGGTGAATCAGAAGGATGAAGAAGGCAGCTGTTTGCTGCCAGGATGTTGTAGCAATGCTTTTGAGAACGCACTTTGATATCATGCTAAGTAACCCTTTTTTGGTTGATGGTATAAACGTGTTTTGTGAAAGGTGCAGCACATGGGAAGTCTTTATAGCAGTTATTTGAAAAACTGCAGCCTCTTCCCTAGCTCAGAGGGCGATGCGGTGCCCACATCCACTTGTGCATGTGAGCCGGGGGTGGAAGAGCCCGGGGAGCAGAGGAGTGAGAGGCCAGGGCTCGGCTTGGGAAGAGACGGGAGGAGAGGGTCAGCCTCGCTGGGTGATTGTGGGTGGCAGGAGGGTACCTGGAGGAACCAGCATCGTTTTCAGAGATATCTAACTGCTGCTTCTAGGACCACCACAATTTTGCTAAAGCCACAGTATCTGTCAGGGGCTGTGTCTAGGGCAGGTTTGGGGCTGGAGCTTGTTCATGGGCATCGATTTCATCCCCTATGTCTTTCCTGGGCAAGTTTGATCCCGGAGGGGGCCCTCCTGCCCCTGAGCCAGCAGCCGTGGTCAGACCGAGCCCAGACGCAGCTGCTTGGAGATGCTCCTTCACCTTGTCCCATGCAGACCCATCAGGCAGGTGTCTGAGGATGGGCAATGGTACTACCGGCCAGCCACCTGGTACCTCCTCTCGTCCCCTCCGCAGGGACATGCACTGGTGTCTTCTGGTGAGGTCTCAGCTTTGGTTTTACGGGCGTGCAATGCTCTCGGTGAGCACCGTGTGAGAGAGGGCAAGGTGCAAGCGGTGTGCCCACTGCTGCGGCAGAAGGTGCCGGTCGTGGTTCTTCTGACTTCCTGGGGAGTTATTTCCATCGTTTGCCGTAGGAAACTATTTTTACCTGTGGTAAACAGCTTTAATTCCAGCGCTCTGTGATCTTTGGTACAACCCGCGCGTAGGCCAACGAGTGGGTGCCCACAATCCAGAGACCACGATCTTGATCTTGGTTCAAATGCCTGTGGGAACTCCATTTACAAAGCATGTTTGATGTGCTTCTAGTACGTCCTGGTGCTGAGGAGAGATTTTATTAAATCTAAGCGTGTTTAGACTTTCTGGCTGCTCAATACCTTGTGCTCAAATATTTTACTTTGCTCCCATTCAGTGAGAAGCGATGAAACCTGGATCTCTGAGGCAAGGCTGCCAGCTTCTTGCCAAATGGGGTGATAGAAAGCGGTTCTGAGAAGTAATGCTAAGGGAAAATTTAGTGTTAGCGAGGAATCCTGCGTCAAACTGACCAGTCGAATACACGTATTTCCAGCCAGAAGAGCTCTGCCTATAGAAAAGAGTGCGACATCAGGTATCTAAACCATAGTTTTCATAAGGACAAGCAGTTGTGTTTTAAACTCAACACATTTGAGGTTTGGCCAATACATTTCTACTGAAAATCAAAATTTCATGTGGGAAATAAGAACAAAACTAATGGTAGTATTGTTCACATTTTTAATTTGAAACTGTGAACAGGGATATGTTTTGAATTCCTTACAAGTTGCCTCCATTTCTGCACCCTTGGTATGTAGTGGAGTATATATTTATAACTTTTTTTCTACATAGAGTCATAAAATCTCTCTTTGAATGACTTGCCAGATCCTGAGTTTTATTCTGCCTTCCCTCTATACCTCCAGACTCCTTCCCTAGGGTGCATTTTCCACCAGATTTCAGTGTAAGAATTTTCTTTGCTCTGGTAATCTTGCTGAGAAACTAAAAATTTAGAGCTGCAGTCAGGCTTCTCTGTAAGAAGCAATAGTCTCTAGGACTAGGTCTGAATTTTTGGACATTGCTTCGGTTCTTGTGGTGAACAAGCTTTTGTCATGACCCTTTCTTTTCAGGCAGGCAGGCAGAACAGAGGCAGCAAGGGACGCTACAGGGGCAGGATGATGCTGTGCTCGCCTCTCGTCGGCTGGAGCGTTTGGATGACCATCCTCCACCAGTGAAAAGTCAGAAAATAGCATTTATGCTTTCTTAGCTCAAAAGGTGTTCTGGTGTTAATACTTTTCAAAGTTGACTCACAGACAAATTTTTTAAAAAAGGAGTTTCCGTGGGAACAAGACCTCGTATCACCCTGACAGAGGAGGGTGGCAGGCTGAGGTCTCCGGTGCATGGTTTTGCCTGTATACTTTCTTCAGAAATCTAATGCTCTGTGAGCTGGACAGTTGTCAGGGTCTTACCATGATGGAGATGTCTTTTCAGTTTTTTGAGGAGAGTTTCGTACCACAGAGGATCCTTGGGATCTTAGTGAGGTGACACAGGCCAGAACGTAGCCCAGCGAGATGAAGGCTCCATGAACGCTAGACTTTTCATTTTCAGGAGTTCATCCCCATGACATTTTGTTGTGGTTGCATAACTTTTCACTTTGTTTTCACTTTTCTTTCCCAATACAGATAAGTTGCAAACCAAGCTCCAGATCGTAGTTTATTTTCATCAGCTCAGCTAAAGTAAATGCTTACAGTCAGAAACATGCAATTTAAATTAAAGGCCATGGGCAGTTCTTTTTTACTACGCAAGAGTCAGCTGCATAGGCAGCAAGGTTGTCCTGTGTCATGCTGAAAGCAATCTG